ATGAATCAATTGCTAAATTTCTGTTTATATGACATATATATACATTATGACATATTAGCACAACAATACAACCATTACTATGAAAATGGAGGTACAATTACAACACATTTTTGGATGCTCTAAAGGTTATGTATAATAAATTTTTATATTAGCAGTACAATACACCCAGTACTGTGAAAAAATGACCAGAATTTTTGCAGAGCTAGCTTACACAATGAGAGTGAACGAGAAGTGCGATGTCTACAGCTTTGGAGTGGTCACAATGGAAATAATAATGGGAATGCATCCGGGTGATCTCATCTCCTCTCTTTCTGCACCAGCATTTTCCTCCTCGTCGTTCTCTCAAATCAACCAGCATACATTGTTGAAGGATGTGATAGACCAACGTATCCCACTTCCTGAAAATCCAGTTGCAGAAGGTGTGGTCTACATTATCAAAATAGCATTTGCATGCTTGCTTGCCATTCCCCAATCTAGGCCAACCATGCGACAAGTAGCTTCGGAGCTCATAGCTCGATGGCCTCCGCTGCCAAAGTCATTTTCCGCAATAACATTGGAAGATCTGATGCCTCAAACAACTGTGACAGGCTGATAATTTTCCAAAAGATTTTGTATAATTAGTATGTGATTGTTTCTACTTATGTTATTTTCAATTTTCGTAGCTTTGTTTGTAATAAATTATTTCTCTGCTTTGTATTTTGTTTCTTCAACGATTAAGGTGTTGAAGTACAGTATTATTATTAATCAAGGTAAATAAAGGCTCTTTGCTATAATTTGTTTTGGTAAAGTATTATTAATTTGTTTCATCCCTTGTAATAATCTAGCAAGAGCAAATTGTTAGACAGCAAATTGTTATCGTAGACACCAATGCGTTTGTCCACATGGTTGCCCCATAGGATATAGCCATTCATCTTCCATTCTCTCATCCCCTATATGGCGGTGATGGTAGGAGTGATTTTGGCAGCACTGATTAATCAGAATCAATAGATAAAACAAGTCCAGCTATAATCTCCTACTGCAACCTAAGATGTTCTAAAACATAAGCACTAGCATTAGAGGCTTCTAGAAGGAGATATACCAAGAATTGCTGGATATCCTATGCATCTGCACTTGAACTATGAATCCACACAGATCATGCTACAAAAACTTAAACTATCATCTACACGGAGTTCTCCACACTGAACTCTTGAAGAATCTTCTGTGCAGCCTCGATTACAGGACTACAATAGCAAAGTGTCAAAAGGCATTTGCCTAAAAAAGCGCATGTGGGATAAAGTATGGAACCAAGGAGTGGTCATCGAAGAAATGCTGCAGTAAAATGTAGATCTGAGAATTATTTGGTGAACAACAAGAAGTTCCAAATCCATTACAAGCAAGCTTGGAGGAGGGCCAAGCGCTGCTGCTCATTTTTAATGGGTGAAGCCAAGAAGTCTTGTACATGTACCAAGAATTTAAGATCTTGGCAACCTTAAACTCCTTTTAAGCCAAATTTTTAGTTTCCTCAATTATATCCAGAAATTTACTGATAATTCAATAAATGATTATCTCCAATAAAATGATTTTTAACATAAGCATCGTGGAAGTATATGGTATGGCAAGTGATACTTATTTTAGCATGATTATATAATAAAGCAAAGCGAGGAAAAACTTATGCTTAAGCACAGGGACCATGTAAAGCCAAATCACAAAACAAAACTATGAATCCACACAGATCATGCTACAAAAATTTAAACTATCAACTACACAGAGTTCTCCACGCTGAACTCTTGAAGAATCCTCCGTGCAGCCTGGATTACAGGACTACAATAGCAAACTGTCAAAATGCATTTGCCTAAGAAAAAAAAGAGTGAACAAGCGATTCGTTTGTGATTGAGAGTGTTGGTTGAGATTTTCATGGAATCATATCCAACGCGATCCCAAGACTCATGCTTGAGAATAAAATGCAAACAAAACTGAGGTTTCATTTTTTTTCTTTTCTATTGCTTTTTTGATGAACGCTGTGCAATTTTGTTAAGCCTGAATGAAAAAGAAAGTTCAAGCCAAACCCAGACAAGGCTACAAAGGAAGTGGCGGTAACCCAAAACAGGAAAGAAGAGTAATAACCAAAAATCAAAAAGTCTACAGCCCACAAACAAAGACACAAAACATATAGGAACAAGAGAAAAGGTCATTCAGCAGCAAGAAAATGGTCTGTGGCAAGATCTAAATAAACAAACTGTCAAGAACATGGCAAAGAAACACAAAACCCCGTAGAGCAGCCCCCTTACATAGAAACCAACAGCCCTCAAGAAACATATGGAATAGAAATTAACCCAATCGCACACAACCAGCGGTTATCATCAAATTAGCAATTGTAGCAAATTGTGAACCTTTTTCCAACCACCATGACTTTTTATTGTAGTAGTTGGTTGGCATTTATTAGGCTGCACATGGGTTGCTGCGAAGGCTCTCATTTCTCCTATAAATGGAGATAGAGACGAGAGAGTGAAATATATAGAAAGAGATATGTAAAGGAAGTGTGCAGTGAGTGCAAGTGCAACTGTGACAATGAGAAAGTGCAGATTTGAGAGAAATATTGAGTGTAAGAGTGAAACACTGGGTTTTGTGGGATTGTACTGCGTTGAGTTCAGTATTTGCATCATTCCTCCAATAATATACAATTTGTTGCCTTCGTGGGCGTACCTGGTTTTGGGGAACCACGTAAATCTGCTTGTTTGTGTTTTATTTGTGTTTGCTTTCGGTCCAGTATGCACAACAAATTGGTATCAGAGTACTAGGGAAGCTAGAACACTGAAAAAAACGTTTTTTCAGCTTTCGGTTCGAAGTTGTAGATTTTTCAAAGTTCTCGGATCTTGATTTTGACCACTTGCGGAGATTCCTCTCATCGATACGAGTCCGAAGATATAAAGATCATCGAAATCGAAGTTGAAACGAGCCTTGTAGAGCTCGCTGAAGTTTCACCTGAAATCTGATGGAAAAACCAGATAGTGCCAGAATTTTAGCCTGAGAAGACTGCCACATCACTAGATACATTGGCGCTGAGTCATCATCCACGTCATCAACAAGGGGTCCACATCACCATGTCATCAGACACTTCATCTAACAGTGACAGAATATTCTCTTGACAGAATAAGAATATTCCACTAACAGTAAGAAAATATTCCCATGACAAAATATTTTTTATTAGAGATAGAATATTCCTTCTCTGAGTCAACTCGGTCAGATTGGTTTTTTAGCCAACTCAGTGATTTTTTGACCCGTTTTAGGCCGAGTCAAGCTGGTTCTTAGCATTTTCAACCATTCTGAACGCAACGGTGGTGTTCGTTTTGTGAAACAGCACACTGAAGTTATTGTTTTGGCTTTTTTGAGCATAAAAATGCATGTTTTAACAATTTCGAGAGTCGATTTGTAATCCAAAGACGTCCTAATGGCTGATATTCCAGAAAAAAATCAGTGGGAAATGCTAGTATACCTCCATAATACATCCCGGTATCGAGTACTAAATTTGAGGTGGAGAAGTTTGATGGGAAAGGTAATTTTGGCATGTGGAAATGTGAAATCATGGATATACTTGTCTAAATGAATTTGGATTTCACTCTAGAAGATAAATCGGAGGATCTGGATGATAAAAGTTGGGAAAGGATAAATCGGTTGGCCTGCAGTTCCATCCGACTTTGTCTTGTAAAGGATCAGAAGTACGCCTTTTCAGAACAAAACTTTGCAAAGGAATTATGGCAAGCACTGGAGGACAAGTTTATGAAGAAGAGTATAGAGAATCGTCTCTACTTGAAGAAAAGGATCTTCCGCTTTCAGCACAAGAAAGGTACTTCTATGAATGAGCATCTGAATGATTTCAATAAAATGATAGCTGATTTGAAGAATTTAGATGTGGAAATTGATGATGAAGATAAAGCTCTGCTGTTATTGAATTCACTGCCTGACACATATGAACATCTCGTCACCACTTTACTGTATGGTAAAGAAAAGATTAAATTCATTGATGTGTCCAATGCTTTGGTGAACAATGAGTACCGGAAGAAGGATCAGATTGTTCACAAAGAGTCAACGTCAGAAGCATTGACAGTTAGAGGCAGAACAAACCCCAGAAGATTTCGAGGGCGAGGGAGATCTCGCTCAAAATCCAGAGGAGAATCATCAAACAGACGATATCTTGCAAAAGATGAGTGTGCCTTTTGTCATAAAAAGGGACACTGGAAGAAAGATTGTCCGATCAAGGGCAATAAGGAAAAAGATGAACCAACTGTGAACGTTGCACGAGATGAGGATGAACGAGACTCTGCATTCATGGTCTCATCACTAGAAAACCATTGTGGTGAATGGCTTCTTGATTCTGCATGTTCCTATCACATGTGCCCTAACAAGCACTTATTCTCGATACTCGAGGAGTTTGATGGAGGAGTTGTGTTGATGAGATCAAAGGGATTAGGACTATCCAACTGAAGATTAATAATAGGGTAGTCAAGACACTCACAAAGGTATGACATGTACCTGACTTGAAGAAAAATCTTTTCTTACTTGGAATCCTAGAATCCAATGGTTATAAGATTATCATGCATGGTGGAGTCCTGAGAGGAATCCGTGGTGTATTAGTTGTCTTAAGAGGCACGAGGATAGGAAACTTATATTTCCTAGATGGATCTACTATTACTAGTACAACAGCTATTTCCAAAAGCATAGAAGATGATGAAACAAGTAATTCTAGACTTTGGCACATGCGCTTAGGGCATGCTGGTGAAAAGGCTTTGCAAGGATTAGTTAAGCAAGGTCTATTAAAAGGTGTCAAGACTGGGAAGCATGTGTTCTGTGAGCATTGTGTTCTTGGAAAACAAACAAAAGTCAAGTTTGGCACTGCGGTATACAATACAAAAGGGATTCTTGATTATGTTCACACAGACATATGGGGACCTTCAAAGAATGAATCTCTTGGAGGTAATCGTTGGTTTGTTACTTTTATTGATGATTTCTCAAGACGAGTATGGGTGTACATGATGAAACACAAGGATGAGGTCCTTGATATCTTTCTGAAATGGAAGAAAATCATGGAGACTCAAACGGGAAGGAGAGTTAAGACTCTTCGGTCAGATAATGGTGGTGAGTACACTTCAGATCCTTTCTTTGAAGTTTGTCAAGATGAAGGGATCAAGCGACATTTTACTATTCGCAAAACACCACAACAAAATAA